GGGCACCGTAGCCAGCCCGTGCCCCTTTAAGGGCTCCGGGTGGGGGGGGGGGCAATAGAGTTTCCCTGGTGTTGGCCAGAGTGGCCACTAGGGCAAGCTGGGGTGGGCTAGCCTCCCACTAGTTGGAATTAAGGGGCTACACACCCCTTAATTCGAACTAGTAAGTTCAAACTAGTCTTAGTCCTCGTAGAATGAGGTTTACCTAGTTCGAACTAAGCGCTCCGCTAGTTCGAATTAAGTTCGAACTAGAGGAGCGCTAGTGTAGCGCCTATCAAAGTTAATTCGAACTGACGTCCGTTAGTTTGAATTAACTTTGTAGTGTAGATATAACCTTTGTGATTTAATCTTTTCTGGGGTTTGTGTTACTGAGAGATTGTGAGCATTGCTGCAAGTAAGATAAATGAGTTACTCGGGATTTCCCTGCAAAGTTTTCTGGCGAGACAAGAGCCTGCATTTGTGGTCTGAAGATTTCCCCCCAAAATAGGCACTGCACATGTGCCCAGAACTGACTCCAGACTGTCAGATTTTTCAGTGAGATAACAGCAGTAACAGTCACAGGTGCCAGGGCAGGAGATATCACTGCAGTAGAGTTGACACTGATTAAAATAGAGACAGTATAGGGAGACCGGACAGGCTGCAAATAAATGTATACATTACTGAATGTCCTCCAGTGCTCGGATTCATTGGCAGTAAAGGATTTAAATCAATACAGTGATGTCTTTTTTCACTAGCTCAGGACCTTTGGTTTTGCTTCTTTAAAATCTGAGATGGAATTCCGGTCTGTCTTTTCACACTGGGCCCAAATCTTGGCCCTGTTGAAGCTGATAGCAAAACCTCCCAGCATTTGGCCTGCCTCGGACTTTCAGGAAATAGCCATTAATCATGAAGAAATAGCAGCAGAGAAACTGGGCCATATTTTTATTCTGTTAGGCTGATTTGGTCAACACAGTGTATGATTATGTTAACATGTTAATGTGCATGTCCAACGTCTTTATGTTTATCTTGAACAATATATACCACAGTAGTTTCTTTTACTAAAACTCACTGAAGTTCTTCAAGTTCCCCATTATGCTTAAGAAGACCTCAATTTATCTTTTTGTGAAGACTTTGCCTCTTGAAGTTGCTTCTAAAACCTTGTTTCTCACCAGAAGTTGGTCTAATAACAGATATTACCTCACCCATCTGCTCTTTCTAAAACACTACAGTGTTATTTAAAACATTTAACAGAGCTCCAAACTCTGGTATAATAAAACAGTTTGTAGTGTTTTATGTAAACATTTCAAGTGTCGTCAACTCTTATGGAATTCTCATAAGCATACTATTAAATGTGAAATGTTTCTGTCGTACCTCGGTGTTCTTGTACCTCGTTACCTTCGGTGGTCTGGACTGTCAGTGTCAGCGTCGTCTGGTCAGGGTTGTCCTGGCGCGCTCCTGACAGGACCTCTACTCCATTGTTAAACTTTCGGCTGTGTGCGTAACAATCGGTACTCCCTTTATCTAGAGCGTTAGACCCCGTGCACTTGGGTCAACACAAGAGATCTCTGAGAGGCCCCGGAAACGACAGATGCAGGCAAGGTTTGAAATCAATCGAGCAGGTTTATTGTCAAATGTGAAGCTCTACCAGTTGGTAACAGAGATCAGTACAATGTTACACCACTGGGCACTATGGCCCGCGTTGACAAGGTACCAACACCGGGCAGGCCTATTGCCATATAACAGATATTAACAGCAGTTAGTCAAAGTTAAGCTTCTGTGCACTCTGTAAGTTTAGGCAATGACACCTGCCGTTCAGGTGCCTAGTGCACACCCTCCCCCCCCCATGTCGGCCGGAGAGCACCCGCTGCGGTGTCCTTTTATAGACCAGTACAAACAACTTACATCATTTCTCTACGTACCAGGTTACCACCCTCTGTTGCCTAGTTACCACCCCTCACCTTATGGAAGGGGGGCTCACTTACTATCCTTCATGCTGTCAATTCCGACCTGGTCCCGAAACTAGGTCGATATGTGCATTAGTTTTTAGGGAGTTTTTGTACCAAGACATTTCTTATTAAGATGTTCCAATACTCCCCTTTGGCTTATAGTCTGTACCCAGTGCCTCCCTGTGTCCTTCCATGCTCGACCTAACTTACACAATCGCACAGTTATCAATAGGGCCTCTTTCTTGGCTCCTGTTACTGAACCAAAGTCTTGCTCACTAGATTGCAGGCCTGTTGCTGTTTTCATGTTACAGGCTTCTATTTAGGCCTGCTGACTCCATGTTACTGACCCTCAACTTACTACAGTTTCATGTGTGCTATGTGTTATGAGGTAATTCTTTGTTAAAATGAAATTTTAATTAAACCCACAGAAAGCATTTCCATCACTAGGTACATACTTAGAATAAGCACATGTTAAAAAACAAACTAAGCCTATGCTGATGATTACAGAGAAATTGTGCCAGACTCTGATCTTGGGTACATTGGTGTAGATGTGGAGTAATGCCATTGTCATTGCGATTGCTGCTGCTCAAGTATAATTTTACAGCAGCCATTCTACACCTGGGGATTGCTGGAATACAATGTGCTCTGCCCACACCCTCAGCCATTTGCAGGCTCACCAGTGGGATGGGGCAAAGAAGCAAGTGTCATGGGGCCTAACTATTCTAAAGGGCCCAGGGTTCCCGGCTACTAGGGCACCAGAGAGGCCTGGAGCTTCTTGCCCTTTAAATCATTGCTGGAGAACCACTCAGGCTACATCTAGACTACAGGCTTCTTGTGCAAGAAGCTTTTTTTGGAAGAGAGTGTCCAGACTGCCTGGACGCTCTCGCTCATGTAAGCTGGGATTGGTATGATCGGAGTAGCCACCGGGGTACCTGTACTTTTTCCTCTTTCCTCTTCTTCCAAAAGAACTCCCTCTTCCCCGTCCACACACACCTTTTTGTGAAAGAGCTCTTTCGCAAAAAGGCTTCTTCCTCATAGAATGCGGATTACCATTTCCTGAAAAACCCCTCTGTTCTTTCAATTTACTATTGAAAGAATGTGCTTGTAGTGTGGACGTAACTCAAGTTTTGTCAGAAAACTGTGTGGTCTAGACATAGACTCAGTGTGCTCCATCTAGCTCTGAGAGGGGGCAGTGATGTGGGCTGGATGCCTCAGTCCCACCCCTTCTGTTTGAAGCCCTGCTTCTTCTGGGAGTTGGGGGCCATCCCCCATTCCCTGCCAACCTTGTCAAGGGGCCTGGCAAGTCTTGTTGGCTCTGCTGGCCATTCCTCTCCTCCTCTGGTGTGGTGGTGGTGGGATAAAGATCTTCTGTGCCAATAGACTCCTTACTGGCAATTTAAGTAAGCTTTCCAGCCCCTTGCAGCACGTGAGGGCCAGGGTCAAACTCACTGTGTGTACCTCTGTGTGATGTTTCTCATACGTAGAGTTGAGAAGAAGGATCAAAGAATTCAAAGCGCAAGTGGTGGTCTCGTCCATCCTCCCTGTTAAAGGGAAAGGACTGGGTAGGGATTGTCGAGTTGAGGAAGTAA